TAGCGAAACATTTTTAATGCTTGGCGAGCATTGAGATGCCTACGGCGAGTCCATCCCCTCTGCCCCGCATCGCTCGACCGCCTGCTCAAGCTATATAAACCGGGCGATGTAGCGCGCGATCCTAGGATACTTTTTACCGCGGGAAAATATCTTATTTCTGAGGAAAAATACAAAAACTGCAATGTAAGAGTATACTAATATGTAACACCTAAGAATTTAGTTTTTGGTCATCTGAACGCGGGCGGAGCCGCGGGCAATGCTAGTCAACAATAATTAAGGTCTATTTCCATAAGATTTTCCAAATAAGATTCGGCTCGGTTACAATTTTATTATATGTATAGATGTAATAATTTAGTTTAATAAGAATTATAGCTTTAGTTATTAGACAAATAAAATTAATGTGCAATTAATATTTTAATCAGCCACACTTTTCCATATAATTTATCCATATATCTGTCTGTTGGAGATAAACCTGCGTCCACGGTTACTCACTCTTGCACGTCATGTCACGTCGCGATAAGCGTATCTATTACTTGATTGTTCTGATCAATCATATTTGATTCCCCCTCGTTAGTGCCGGCCGACTTTCACTGCTTAGTACATGATTTAGTACATGTACATATATTAATTTATCGTTGCTCAATGAAATTAGATGTGCTTTTATCAAAGCGTCTCTATAAGTTATATACCATTTATTGAATTCTGCCAACTATAACTCGATTTCGAATTGATTTGTTATATAGAAGTTATTATTTAACTAGTGTTATGCATCCACTTCGCTTGGGTGTGACATTAGACTTGTAGGCACAAGTAGCCTATGTATCACTCCAGGTCATAGTTTATCTATGTAGTAAATATCATCCAAAACTGTTCAGCCATTTTAGAGTACAGGAATAACAGACATACATACACACACACACATCTTTCGCGTCTACAAAAGTAGTACGATGAGTAAAATAATAATAGACTAGCGAGCTACTTCCCAATACAAACTTCCATCCTCATTTACACCCCCTTACGGGATGATTTCCGGGATAAAAATTATCCTATGTCCTTCCCAGGGTCTCAAACTATCTTTTTACCAAATTTTATCTAAATCGGTTCAGTGGATCCAGAGATTACCCCATCCAGAGATTACCCATACGTCACAAACTCGCAATCTTTACCTCTTCATAATATTAGTATAGATTTCAGCATCAAAGGAATCCGTTTCAATTCTTGTTTAGGGTTAATTTTCATATCATTATTTACGTGCAGTCAGTCGTATGTTGGTCGCGACCGTGGTCACTCAGTGCGAAGGCGACGTTGTTTTCACAGAATTTCGAATTCTCAAATGGCGTACAATACCTGTCTAATATTACAATAAATTGCCGCTCTTATAAATTATATCTGTTACTTAACTTCGTGTCAGTATTTAAGGGATACTAGAGTCTGTTGCTAGTTATATCATAAAATAATATTACGCTAATCTATGCACGCTTATGATTAATTTATCATCGGCGGATTCAAACGATTATTACAACCTTATAACCATATACAAGTAATGGTTAACCACAACTGCGAATTACTAAACGCTTCTAAAAATAAACACGTAATATCGCCGGCGCCGCATAATTGTGTTTTAATAAAGTCTGACGGCTTAAAGAATGTAGATAGAATCGAACCCGCGCTATTGCGATTTATAACGTAATTGATTCAATACGGCGCGTCTAGATGGCGCTTATCTTTCAATTATTTGCAATTTCAATGTTTTATTGCTAATTAATAGTTTTTACAAGTCTTTATGTCTATAAGGAAATAGTTTAATTTAATTGTAAACGTGCATTGTAAAGAAATATTATAAAAATATATAAAGATCTATACTTATTACAAAACAACACACCTTACCATAGCGTACCAGTTTTTTTATGTGTAATATTTTTAATATACAAATTTTAGTAGTTTCACTTAAAAATATAACTCAGCCATATTTTATTCTACATACGTAAAATGTAATTGATTGTTTCTTTGCATAAAGATTTAAATTCAATCGAGGCAAGTTAATATATTACACGTCAAAATAAAGCGGGCATCGGCATTTATATCAGCTGTTTATGTAGGCTACATACACTCAACTTGGCCACAAAATAAATACGACTCGAAGTTTCGATACTTTTTCACATAAAAAATTAATGATGTTATTTGACCGTAATCCCCGTGAAATACCACCTTTATTACACCTTTCACCCTCGCAGCGAAGCGACGTCAGAAGAAATCCGTCAAACTGTTGGTCCATTGATCCGCTTCAGGAATGCGACGTGTTCACACTGATTTCTTCGTTTTTAGCATACTGCTATTTTATTTTTTTATTTAATTATCCGTATATATATATATATTGGCCTACTATCATAAATACAAAAGTTTGTATGTTTGTTTGTGTGAACCTTTGTTACCGTACACTCTGAAACGACTGGGCGGATTTAAATGAATCTTAAGACACAGATATATTATGACTTGAAGTAACATATAAGCGACTGTTAAGCACCTGTTGTCTGTTGATGTACATGTGCGAAGTTAGGTGAAGTCGCTAGTATCCATATAAAAATAAGTAAACATCTTTAAAGATTTTAACAATAAAAATTAAAAACTGTCTGCGGATTATGTTAAATCATGCCATAAATAAAGATACGGCACAGTACGTCTCGTATGAAGCCAGCTTTTCTAGAGATAAAAGAAAGTACCTAGGTGGTAATGTTTGCAAGATTATGAGCTCTAAACGAGAACTCGACGTCCTGCGACATCTACTGATTACAGGACACGTTCATAGGCTTCTTTATCTTAATCTTAACGAGTGTCGTTACTTTAACCATTAAAAATATGGTTAGGTTATTCGATCAATATTAGTTGCAAAACTGCGATTTTAAATTGTATTTTAAATTATTACATACATATAATACCTCCACGACCGCGGACACGCTGACGTTACAGTTAACAATAGATTTCTTAGAAATTTACCTGGAGGTGTTAATAAAACTGTAGAGGTCGAATGTCTGTACATAGAAAAAAAATGCTAAAAACAAAGTCAGGGGGATGTAAGAAAAGACATAGAGCAAATCTAGTTTTTTTTTTCATTTTTTTTGTTTCTCTGTCCGTTTGTCTGTTTGTATGGGCTAATCTCCGAAACTGTTGGACCGATTTAAATGAAATTTTGCATGGTGGTACCTCTTATCCCCGGTCAACATTTAAGATACTTTTCATCCTGGAAAATTAAAGAGTTCCCGTGGGATAGTTAAAAAACTATAGTAACTTATACAGCTTAGTACTACACAACAAATTATGCACCTAATTTAGTAAAATTTGGCATGCTTATACCTTATATTGCCGGTCAAACAACAGGTTACTTTTTATCCCGAAAAAATGAACGGTTCCCACGGGATAAATCTGTTTGTGCTTTTCTAGAGGCAAACCCGAGCGAAACGAGGGTGAGCCGCTAGTTATGTATATAATGTTGAAAGGAAAAGAATTGGAAATTACTTATAACAATTGTTTATAATACTTAAGTGTATTAGCTATAAAACTGTAAATATTGAATGAAAATATAACTTAAAATTTTTATTGAATACAAAATTAATTTGAATGTAAATTGAAATCATAAAATAAAGCAAATAAATTGCGTATTAAGTAATGAGAAATATTCGATACCATAAAGGCCTTGTAAACACTGGCCCGTGCGCTCATTTGTAAATTAGAAGCAATCTCAATGTTACCAAATTAATAAAACAAATAAATTCACGTATCGCGTGTCGACGTAATTACTAAATATTATATCTTAATGGCCGCCTTAATATTGAGATGGTTTGCGTGCAAGTAATTGAAGAAATAATTTCTTTTTCTTAAAAGAGCCGTGCCCATATATTTTGGATGTGCCGAAAGTTTTGCGACACGGCGGTGAACTCAACAATAAATAATATTAACGTCCCAAACAACGGAGCCTTTAAGCAGAACTTTACAAAAATGGAATTCAATTAAGAAAATATTTCCAGTGATAAATAATTGGAATCACCGCTACCTACCGCACAATTTTAGCATATTTTATTCGAAAACGTTTAAAATCATAAAGTTTTTTTTTTAATTATTTAAATTAAAAAGAGTATAAAATTGTTCGACTATAACAAGTCTGTTACCAGGCGAAACAATCTCGCAAAAAGTTTTAATATCTCAAACTTCCTCGGCACTTTCGAAAACATTTGCAATTCCGCCGGTTACCGTGAAAAGTTTCACACTCCCAGACGGAGGGCTATCTGCGAAGTCGATGGGAGTTTTTACCGATTTATGTTTGCATCGATATTATTTTAATGATGATTTTTTTCGGCCATTAGTTAGCGTTATCGATTCGGCACGAGCAATTAGCTGTCCGATCGGGATCTGATCGTCCGATCTCAGCAAGCGGCCGATCATGATTGATGATGTTTTTGGGTTATTACTAAACTCCCTCCTCCATTTTCGCTTATCGCTTTGGGAGGTACGGGGATGGGTGTAACTCATTTTGTTAATGCGGTTGACGTCCCGCGTGTAGAAGATAACAGTGTTCGAAGGTACTTTGACGCAAACGCGATTTACTTGGCTTCGTCTAAGGGCTCCATTAGGGATAATAATGAAATTATAAGAATAAGTAGGCGTGAACGATTTTCCATTGGCGTTAAAATGCGAAAATAGATATGACGTTTAATGCTATTTGTGAAGGTAAATGTTATAGATAAGTGTGATAGGCCCTTTAAGTTATTATAACGGCGTAAAAATCTTTTAATAATATTACTCTACATTTTGCTTTGACGAATATTAATATTTTTTTCTTAATATTTATTAAAAGTTACATGATTTTTAAACAAGGAGTCTTTTTTTTTATTAATGAAGAATTGTTAGATGCTAAGTTATTAGTACTACTACTACTAAAATTTCAGAACAATATTAGTTTTCTATGAAAGCGTTACATATTTTATTTTATATTTCCAGTGGGCGGAATGTCCCGCGGTGGCAGCGGCGCCGGGAAGACGGCGACAGCGAAGCGTGTACCGCCACCGGCAGTCCCGGGGGATGCGTTCGGCACACCTCAACACAGACACTCGGGCTCGAGCTTCGGCTCACAAGGGTATGCCTCGTGTGAGGAACAAGCCTACCCTCAACCCCCGGATACCCCTTCACACACTAGAGGTACATATATATAATAATAATGCTAAAGTTATGTTTATATATATATTTAGAATAGAGAATAAAACAAAAACAACTTAATGGATTTTAACAAAATCTTCATGGACTACTTGAAGATTTGTATGTTATGAATACTGAGGGACTTTTATAATCCTAACTCGTAAGCAGAACCTTTAGTCACGCTATTATTTAAATAAGTACTACTAGCAATGTGCAAAGTCATTATTGTGTAGTGTATGAAAACCTACATGGTGTTAGAAGATATTGATTTATCATTATGTTGGCCCTTTAAGAATATCTGGAACGCTTCACTTAGGTTTCAAAAATATTAGGTACAAATCCACCTATTGAGTGAGTGTAATTTGGCGTGAATTTTTTTTAATGCTAAGCATGTCTGTCTGTTCGTTCTACGAGCTACAATATAAGATATATTCAAAAGCGTTATTAAAAAGTAAATAGTTCGATGTTAGATATTGGTTTCAACACTTCGGCCATTATGATATAATAATGCCTAGGAAAGATTAAGAAAGAGTCACATTTATATTTCATCCAAACCTGACGCTATTTCCACATAAATTTAAACAGTTTTAGTACTTTTAAATAAAACTATTGTTTCGGATTATTTCGCGGATTTATTTAGATTTTTATTTCCCGACGTTTCTAAGTTTTAGTACTGATAATAACAATTTTATTATATAAAAAAAATCTATGTGAACGTCTATTTACAGATGACCACTCCGATTACGGTAGTACCGTGTCCGGTGTGTCAGGAGTGTCGGGCGCCAGCGGCAGCCTGGGCAAGAGTCCGGCGGGAGGTGGCACGTTCACCTTCCCACCACCGACACAACCCCTCACACACAAAGCTGCTGTATACTACCATCATCAGCTAGCGTTGAGCGATGATCAAGGCATTGATATGACACAGGTAAAAGAATTTATTTTAGATCTAAGAATTCAGACTATTCTCAACAATATTTTTGGTAATCGCTTAATTTCGGACCCTCTGATTTTGTCTCATTTCTAGACTAGAATATGAACAAGATAATCGTTAAAAATATCACAAGTAAATAACTATGCCCGTAAAGTATATTAAGAAATTATACGCCAAATGGTACGAGGGACAAAACAGGGAATTAAAGCATAATGTTACCGATATTGTAATTCTGAAGATAAAATTAAAATTATACAATTATACATGAATATAGTATACGTTTTAATTATACGTGAAAGGATTTCGCCGGTTAAGCATATGGTTTTGGGCTCAGAGGCTTTCGAGGTTAATATTAGAAGAAATATACACATTTTAAATAAATATACACAATTAAGTGCTGAAATCTAATATTAACCTCAAAAGCCTCTAAGCCCAAAACCATATTATGCTTAACCGACGAAACCCTTTTATATATAATCGACCAAAGTAAACGTAATAGTCAAACTTATTGCTTCTCCACGGACGTAGCTAATTCAATTCTGCCTGAAGTAAAAATTTTGTTTGGTCCGACTAAATATATGTAGTAACAGCTTAAGATAACACATTTGCTGTGTTTGCGCGCGTACTCGTGCACTATAATACCTCCTGCGCACATGGATGGTCTCACAATCAGTAATCTTGGTCTCAGTCAAGAGGTTTGTTAAAAAGCGTACTCCCATTACAGAGTCCTGGCCGTGATAGCCCAGGGTCTTCATCGGGCTCGGCAGGGTCTGGGTCACGTCACTCGTCAGCGTCACTGGACAGCGGCAGGGCGTCGGGTCGAATGCCACACCATCATCACGCCGCGTGTCACTGCGGAGATACTGTTGACAGAGTGCGTGCGATGATCGCTCAGGGTTTACCGGTGAGTTGTGATTATTTTTTATTTTTATTTTTTTATGTTCGGACATTAACACACAGCGCCATCTAGTTCTATGGTAAGCTACGAGGCTTGTGTTATGGATACCAGATAGTTGATACACTACACATATATAGCTTTAAATACATACATATTATAAATACTTGTATAAACACCCATGACTGGAGTACAAACATTCGTGCTCATCACACAAATGAATGCCCCCAGCGGGACTCGAACCCGCGACCGCTGGCACAACAAGTAGGGTCACTACAAACTGAGCCAAACGTGTCGAATTCATAATTTATGATACGAAGACTGTTATAGCAAATTACATTATTTTTGGCACAATTACATTCGCTTTCATTTTCATTTTATTCATAGCCTCTAATTCTAATAGATTGATAAATTTTATGTGGAACTCAAAATACTAAATTTTGAAAGGTATCATTTTCAATACTAATTTTGAATGTCAAAATTATTAATTCTAACTCAATGAAAATTTAATAAAAATTAACGTTTTAGGATCCAGACATTATCCACGCCTGGTTAGCAGATCTACAAATGGAAGAATATGCAAGACTCTTCATAGAAGCTGGATACGACCTTCCCACTGTTACTAGAATGACTCCAGAAGATCTTACTGCTGTTGGTATCAAGAAACCCAATCATCGCAAGCGGTTAAAGGCTGAACTCGCAAATCTGAATGTTCCGGATAACTTACCAGATTATATCCCCGTATGCATTGTTTTTAATTAAATTTTGTTTTCGTTTAAAGATTGACTTATTTTTACTTTCTAGCACTTTAAATGTCTTGTAAGTTTTCATAAGGCAGTTAAACATCAATGTAAACAGATAATTCGTTATATTTTTAATAATTTACTTATAAGCGTCTTATTGAATAACTCGAAATAAATTTGAGTCCATAATGATGAGTTCATTCAAAATTGTAATATTTTAAAAATTATCTTCATAGATATTATAAAAAATCAGCTAAAAAAACAGACAAAGGAACTATGGCTTACCTCATCATAATATGATTCTTTTATTTTGAAAAATACTTATAATATTAAGCTTATCATATGTTCATTCTTTCCAGGGTTCCCTAGAAGAATGGCTTCGCCTACTTAGACTGGAGGAATATGGTCCCGCCCTCGTAGCACAGGGGTACCGGACTGTACACGACGTTACGCAATTAGCTTGGGAGGTAATATGTACTTAATGTTACAAATAATTATTTTTTATCTAAAATAATGCAACACTTCAAACTCACTTTGCTAGTAATATTCCATCCTGGGAGAAATAGTTAAGCATCTCTGTGTTTAATAAAAAGAAAATGGTACATACAACCGAATTGAGTACCCCTCCTTATTAAAGTCAATATTTCATTGAAATATCCTACAAATTACAATTCATCTGAAATAATTTTGAGTTTATTATCAATATATTACCACTACTTAGGATTTAGGAATAACTTCTACGAAAAAGAGAACATTGAACCCACGACCACCGTAGCACAAGATAAGTAACTATCTTATTTCCTAAACATAACTGCAAAGGTCAATACAAATTATTTTATCAATTTAGGATCTAGAAGACATGGGCATAGTCCGTCTTGGCCACCAGAAGAAGATTTTATTAGCCATCAAACGCGTAAAAGATATTCGAGCGGGAAAAAGGAGCATCAGCAATCAGGGCTCAATCGACTTTACGAGAATACCTGGACAGGTAATATTGTAACAAACTAATATTATACTATCCCTGTAGTGATGTTTTAGATAGTCCATAGACGTAGCGTGAAAGTGGATTTTGAAAAGTCTCAAAAATATTGTCTTTGGTACATTTTGTCCTTTTTACACCACCAATGTACCTATAGACTACTAGTTTCTTTTTTATTTGAATTTGAAAATTATCTTTAAAGCATCACTTCAAAGTGTTTTATTTTTTTAAATTATGATTTTACTTTTTATATTGTTTTTTTTTATCATTTACATTTCATTTCATTCATCATTAACATTACTCTTATTATGAATTTATCGAATTTCACTAATAAAGTTATAATTTATTTAACAAAAATATATTTTAGATTAATTCGATTTGTCTAACCATCTAATATTTCACTAACGACGCTTTGAATAACAAATAAATAGAGTTTTAGTAAAACCTGGTAATGTATCCAGAATACAAGTCAGGCTAAATAGGGCTTTAGATGTTAGCTCCTTGTATAAACATTCCAGCACAATTTTTTTTCTTTGCAACGCCAATAGACGTGGATACGTTATGGGAAAATATATTTTGTCTGTGAAGACTAAATTGGCACACGTAAAAATTTTAAAATTCAAATTTTCCCGACACGTTCTCAAAATTTCATTTTCGCTTAGACGTTTAGAGGTCTCTCTCCATCGCCATCACTGTCGCTGCCATACATACAACTTTGCGACTTGCTTGATAAAAAATATATATATGTACAACGTTTTTATAGAAGCTTTTATTGAAGATATATTATTATGAATATAGTTTAAATAATCCGTTTGTTCTCGAATTCCATAATGAATAATTTATAATATGCACCAAGACCAGTAAATTGTTATTTAAATTATTTTATAAACTAAATTTTAATCCATCGCATTAGATAATAAAAATTCATAAGCGAAATAAAGTCGCAAAGCTGTCCAATTCACGTCGTCGCTGCATCCACCATTCCACTAGCCCAAAGCAGCATGTGAATGTTTTGTTTTCTTTTCTTTCAAACACAAACCGCACTTGGACATAAAGGATTTATATCCGAGGGAGCATTTCCAGCATTGGGAGAGACACGCGAGGAGTTTCCATAAACCCCCCGATCTAAAGTTCGATGCGATACCGACGCCATTGTGTACCACAGATTTGGTCCCCATTCAGGTATGACACTGACAGATGTCAGTCTGACATTTGCACTCGGCTTTTATGTGCACCAGTCTTTATTCTCGATGTGTGTGTCTTCTTTCGAAGTAGGTCGATAGGACTTAGCCTGCACGGTAGAATTTAGTACTATGTTTTTTTAAATCTAAATCTTAATAATTACTTGATTGAGCATGATTTATTATTAATTATATAATAAATATCTATCTATATACAAGTACCTACGAATATGTTAATATTAATATTTTAATTATTATTAATAAAATAATTAAATATAAGTATTTGTTATAGCATGTAAATAATTAACAGTTGGTAAATTTTTGAGCTATTGTATTATATTGATTGTGATTTTTTTGGAAAATTTGAGCTGTAAATTTATTACACTTTATATGTATTTCTAACAAAATAATAATGAACAATATAAAAATTACAGATACGTCATCCCCGTGGGAAATCTTTGGAAAGTCTAGAAGATCCTACAGAGAGGACGACACACACCACATTTTCTCCTGAAGCAGGGTTCTATTACGGTGGACAGTGGAGGCGTTCATACGATGATGGGGATATAACACCAACAAATGATAGCTCTTACGAGGGTGGTGGGACGTTACCGCGTCCTAGAGGCTTAGTTAGACCGCGACCAGTAGCAAAGATCCAAGCTACACCGGCATATAGAGATAAATCACCAGATTACACATATGATGAGATAGCGTACTCAGCAAGATTACAGCGTGTCGCTTATGGTGCGAGTCCACACGTAGCTAGAAAACCGCCTCCAGAGCCGCCAAAACGACAAAGCTCTCAATATGCTCCATTTACTCGATTTGGACAGACTACAGTAGAAATTCATCCTGAAAAAAGTCTACCTTTAAGTCTGCCGGCATACCCCAGTTCGGACTCGCTAAGCGTGTCGTTGGAAAGCACAGGGTTGCTGCCACCGCCACCGGCGCCATCTTCTCCCCCGAGAAGATACGATGATGATAAATTGAGAACTGGATCAGATGCCAGTTTTAAGGTAATTGATAACAATTGGTTTACTTAAAATTTTATGATTTTTAATGTAAACGATAGATTATATAATGCTTATAATGGGTTGCAAATTTGGTAAAATTAATTGATAATTGGAATTTATAATATACTAGCGACCCACCCTCGCTTCGCTCGGGTTCTTCCCTAGGTACGTTATAACGGTTAGTATGAAATACAAATCTTTGAATTTCTCGGTTTGTATGTACTATAATATGCCTCTCAATATGCATGAATTATACATATAAATTATAAACCTTCCTTTTGAATCACTCTATCTATTAAAAAAACGGCATCTAAATCCGTTGCGTAGTTTTAAAGATCTAAGCATATATAGGGACAGACAGACAGCGGGAAGCGACTTTGTTTTATACTATGTTGTGATAGTAAATAGGTAGATATTAAATTTATAAATATTTCTAACTTACATTTAATTTTTTTACAGTCAAGTTCCAGTACCGAATCAGACAGCATCCCATTTGCAAACGAAAACGCGGGTACAATCAAGCAAAATCGCGGGCAAATCGCCGGAAGACCACACACTGTGGACTACGGACGATCAGGCATCGGACTGGCCAACCTTCCCAGAAATACTGACATAAAACCAAATCCTTTACCAGAACACAAAGATGAGAAAAGCACAGAGCCAGTTGATGTTCTGAACGACATCGGCAACATGCTAGCCAACCTGACGGACGAACTCGACGCCATGTTAGAAGAAGAGAAACGTCAAGGATTAACAGATTCCTAAAATCCCTCCACATTCACTTGTGAACTCGAATACAAAATTAATACAAATCCAAAGATCGATTTGTGTCGGTAGTTGTATAGAAAACGATGCTGTTATTTTTCATAGTATATTGGAAAATAACTAAAACTTCCGGTTTCTAATGGTGATTTTGATAGCAATAATTCTGGTTTGAAAGTTTAATAATGATTATAATCACACTTGATTGCTCACGACTGAATGAAAAAGGAAAATGTTAAACCAAAATGATTGTGTACAAAATCATTAGGACCATTGCTTCTAAAATAAAGCCATTTGAATGGCACTTTGCATATTTTTTTACAGCTGTGCATTCACACTGCCTTTATCCGTCGCCTTTTCTCACCAAGTTGTAAAATCTTCATAGACTCAATACAATATTTTAATATTCAGCCAGAACGCTATTTTCTTGCTATAATGAAATATATATACTTAATAACATAGTTTTCTATAGGTACCGTAGCATTCGTACTTTTCAGTACTTTGATGAATTAAAAATTTATTTCTCAATATAAATTAATTTTGATCTTTTATATGTATAGTTCCTTATTTAAATTTATTTTTGTGTTTTACGTTTACCTTGGGATAGTTTAAAATTAGGTATAGTCGGATCCAAAAAAAAAACAGATGAAAATGGCTATTTTTGTAAATAACATTTTACTTAAATTATGTCATAGAATAAATCCAGTAGCTAGTTTCCCACTGTATGTACAATAAAATTGTAGAGTACTTGAGTAATATTGTTTAGAATATTATAGTTAGAATTTATACAAAACGATAGCTGTAGGGTTAGTTTTAAAGATTAGGGATTACAATAAATGTATAGCCCTTCATATAAAGTAGTATAGACCTCATAGCCCTATTATTATTACCTTGAATTGTATCGGGATTCTATTCACAGATTATGCTTTTGACATTAAACATGTGAATAATGACTCAATTAATTGGTAAGCGTTATTCGATAGAGGTGGGCGGTTAAGATCGTTAATCGATATATCATCGATTATTATCGATGTATTAATTTATTGTTTATTATATATAATCGACTTTTATATACTATTTTGATTAATATTTCTAATCAAGTTTCACGATTTTAACGATTTTATGGATTGTATAAGGTTATTAGAACAAATCATCTTAATCAATTTTATTGAACAACGGTTGTTCTTAATCGCCCATCTCTCTTTTTAATGGACTAATTCAATTTTTTGCCACAGTAAGGGATTGATGAACTATCGATTTATCTACATTACCGCTTATTGCATCTAAAATGAAGTATAGCTGCTTGAAAAAACACCTACGAAGGTTTCGAAAGTGGCTTTACACAGACGATACATAAACAATAAGTTCGACACTGATATCTATTCCAACTTTTACATTTTAATACAAATAATATTAATTACAATTAAAGCATAACTGTCTCTAATACTTAATTTTAATTACTGTCCACTAATAATGTGATACACAGTGGCCATATAATGTTAAAAAGCTTATCCCGAGGAAATAACAAAATATAACTCTCCTCATTTTTACACATTTTTAAAGCTAACATGAGACATACAATAAATAATTTAGTGACTAAAAGTAGCGAGTTATAAAATATTTTTAGCTTTTTACTGTAAATATCTATAGAGATCAGTGTTTCTATACAGTCTCCTTTGATACCTAACATGTCATATTTAGAACTTTTGTATACCTGTTATTAGGGCCGTCACTCGTATTTATTTTTATTTTTACGGAGCTAGGGTCGCTAGAATAGGACGGTGCTAGATATGAAATCTGAAGCAAGCCATATATTTTGCATCATTATTATTATTGTTGTTTTTAAACTTTACTTTGTTCTATGAACTAGTCAAAATTATGTTTTTGAGTGGCGGTTATTTATAATTAATGTTGAATTGTAATCTATCAACTATTACTGGAAGCAGCTTATAATTCTCTTATTTTATAGTTCAGTTCTTATTTGAATAAATATTTGTAATATCTAATGTTGTATTTTTCTTAATGTCCCCTTATCTCTTAGTTAGAATATTTTTAAATTAAGTCTATATTTATAAAAAAATAAATGTCTGTGATTTTAAAATAGCTTAATATTGATTTGATATAGTTATTTGGATTATATGGATGCCGAAACAGTAATTAAAAATTTGGTCTGCATCTGTCTGCCCTTCGTGTTGTATCCACTAATCTCAAGAACGCCAAGTTTGTGTTTGTGACGCTAACGGTAAACGAATAGTTGTATTAAAGTGTTATGATATAAACTATTTTTTACTCCTGGAAAAAAATTATTTTCAACCGACTTCCTCAAAAAGGAGGAGGTTCTCAATTCGGCTGTATGTTGTTTTTTTATGTTTGTTACCTCAGAACTCCGTCATTTATTAACCGATTAGGACAATTTTTGTTTTGTTTGAAAGTGTATACTTCCAGATTGGTCCCATTTAAGTTTCAAAAAAAAATGCGAACCCTAAGGGTGGAAAAATAGCTAATAATTAATTTAATCTACTTCTAATTGTCATATTGACTTGAAACTTTGCTAGTGTTTCTAATTCCGTTGATAGTGCGACAGCGGTATAGTATCTGATGGTAAGGCCGAAGGTGGATAGGTGGAACTCTTCAACGGCTAATAGTAGATACTTTGAGTTTGGGCTTACTTTGTTTGATTTGGCAAGCCTCACTAATTAGAATCGGATTTTAGAGCCAGAATTTTTAGTGTTACTAATAAAAGCGAATTTTAGTTTGTAAGTATTCGCATAAAAATTGGCATCAAAGTAACTTAAAACGTTTTAAGCGAATATTTTATTAAAATACTTTCTTCTTAATTTGCTACTACTATTTCTACACTAAAAAGGGAAAAATAAAAACTTTTTAACAAAAAAATAAAAACCGACTTCAAAAAAGCACTAAAAAGTAAAAAATAAATGATTGGTAGTTTTCATTTACAATACGTACCTAATCAATTATTTTCGAAGTCGGTGCCAGCCGATACAAAGCAAAGCACACCGACTTCGAAAATATTTCATTAAGTATGTATGTATAGTAAATGAAAACTACCAATGAATTATTTTTTACTTTTTAGTGCTTTTTGAAGTCGGTTTTTATTTTTTTTGTTAAAAAGTTTTTATCTTAGGATGAAGAATAGAATGAAACGGCTTGATAACGTTTAATAATATTTTTATATTAAGTATTCTACAAAAACAATTCCGCGAAGTTATAAGAAATTTTTGGCTTGGGATGTAGAAGAAAAGTGAGGGCTAATATCAGATCCACTGTAAGTAACGTCATATAAAACAAAAATTAAGTAGGTATATATAGCACTAGCGACTCACCCTCGCTCTGCTCTTGTTACTCCCTACTTACGTTTTAACGTTTAGTATAGATTTCTCAGAGATAAGATATTTTCCCGCAGTAAAAGTATCCTATATGTTGACCCGGATAAGCAGCTATCATCATACCAAATTTCATCAAAATCCCTGCGGTGCCGGTGGCTTGCAGTCACAGGTAGACAGACAAAAAATCTAAAAACTATAGATTCGGCCCCTGTATCGGTATAAGTAATAATGTCTATTTCAATAAGATTTTCAAAAAAATATTTACTGTACAGATTCTGCTTAGTTACAATTTTATTATATGTATAGATGTAAAATTTCGGTATAGCTTGTGGCATGTAACAACTGGAAAATTATCCTCAATAATGAAATGAAGTGCTAACTTTAGAAGCAATAAAGTGTAAGAATAGATTTTAAAGCCAAATTTATTGATTAAAAATTTAAATTCTCTAAGACAAATTTTGTATGTTTATATTGTAAAAAAGTTGCTACTACACAAAATATATAATTTTCTATATCTTTAAAACAAAACAGTATATAATCGTTAATCGCGGTAGTCAATACCTAAACTCTAAATCATCAAAATAATAAACTGTGAAATTTTAGTCAAGAAAATGTAAATAAATATGAACTCTAATAATACTCTAAATAATTTCTGGACAATTTCGGTGGAATAGTAAACTTTATTAAACGTATAATTCTTACTTCATAAATAACAAACTTCTATAAAACTTTTAACCTTAATTTTTAACAAATTTAGTGGTGTATCAAAAACTTTTCTTTAGTGCTCACAGTCGTTATAAAAGGTTGTTTTCCTTTTGTGGAAAATGTTATAGTTCCATAAAGTAAGATCATAGAGTATATTGCTACATATATAAAAGTAAGATTAACGTTGTCTGTCAGTCATTTAGAGTTATTTTTTTGAAGTTAAACTTCTTTTGGCACGTTTGGAAAAAAATATGAGAGTAAATTTTTTACGATGATATATTGAATATTTGCACCTAGCGATACAAATAGGGTTAAATCCTTGGCGAAGCAATAATTTTTTTTGAATAATAATTTAACATAAAATAAAATATATACTTACCAATACTATGGAGATGATGTAAATAAAGTTAATCATCGATTTTCATCAAATTATTAGATCGGTTAGTTAGCTTCACTAAGCGCTAAGAAGCGCTTTTAACTACTAAATGACCATTTGACTTCTCGGAAAAACATTTTTTATCTGTAGTATTTGTCACTGTTTGCGAATTTAAGCCGCGCGAGCTGCGCGATCGATAACTAATATTGGAAGTCGGAAGATATTCGGAGTTTGTGAGGTCAGAGACGTTGATGGGCTCTAAGGTTGAACATTAAAATTTATTAATTTCTTAAAAGTGCAAAAATGGAAACGGCTGGTGCTTACGGCGGTGGAAAGGCCGGTGGAGCCTTCGATCCTCAAGCTTTCATCCAGCGACCTTCTGTAATTGTCCGTGCAGTTTGCTGGGTAAGCTATATATAACATTACATCTTATGTCATGTAATAAAACTTAAAATGAACCTTATAAATTGATGTTATAAGCAGCTTAATATATTTTGACCAGTCTTCATTTACTGTGATTTTATTAGAAATTTTATAACAATTTACCCTTTTATTTTATCAAAAAAAAATATAATTGTGCAGTCAGGAGTGCCACAACAATCATGTGATTAACCTTGTAAATGTATGTCACATAACATAGACTTAATGGTAGGTTTTGTAATACCATCTAATTTGACATATCATGGCTAGAATCAATACACTACATTGAATAGGTTTACTTTTCCTAATACTAACTATTTATATATATTATACACATAAATATTGGTCTTGTAATTAAGTATATTGAGAAGTTCCCAATCAATAAAAAACTGGTGACTACTGAAAACCTTACATATTTATACCCTTGAATATCTGTGATATATTCTTGTTTTTTAGAAGCTCTTGGTAATGATGAATTATAATTATAATTTTTTTTAATTTTCATATTTATTTATTCAAACTAAAATCCACAGCTACATAGAGAGAGTACATAAAAAAAGTTCTTTTAAAAGCCAATTTTGGATTTTCATTATTTGTGCAATATAGATGGGTAGACTAAGTGTACATGTATTAAAGAAAAAGAAATAAATAAAAAAAAAACAATAAAACAGACAAACGGAAAAAAACAGCATATTAGGGATATTAATTAAGTACTATCATATTTTAAAAATTATTATTGTAACTACCAAATTATCAATACCTGTTTTATGAAATCCAATTGCATAACAGTGTATCCCTTCAATAACTAATTTAAAAACCGATCCTATATTATATGCCTGTTTTTTAGTAAGTTATTACTAGTTTAAATTATGAAAGGGTTAAACTTTATCATCTTCTTAAACACTTTGATATTCACAAAAAATATTTCTTTCTTTATACTGTTGTACTGTATACAAACCCTTTAATCCCTCCATGACCGCAGACAGGCTGGCGTTACAGTTAACAATAGATTTCTTAGCAATTTAATTAATTTCTTAGAAATTTACCTGGAGGTGTTAATGGAATAAGTGTACTTGATTTGACATTTGCGCAAAAGTTTTGTTTAGTACCAAAAATTAATAATATGTGGTCTGCATTTTCTGTATTTTAGCTTGAACAAAAAATATAAACATTAATTTAGTATGTATGTATGAACTACATCATAGGTCTGACTTTAGTAAAAAAATTAATAAGTAAATGTGTAAGTGGAACATATCTGCTCATATCCTCTTGATTGAAATAAGCTTTCGTTTAAATTTTTTGTAAATAAATGTATTGTGCAGAAACCTAAAACGATAACATAGAAAGCAAGTAAATTTTCCCCTTTATATATGTGTTACGCATATATGTAATGTACTTCTAAACAATTGCAACTTGAATATACATAGATTGTGGGTGGGGCACTTTGTAGTTAGCAGTATGTATGATACAAGTATTTAACTTATGAAAGTATTAATAATATATATCTGTATATTTCTATTGATAGATTCATATAGTAATACATAATTGATAAAAACCATGATGACAATCATTTTATTAAATTAATACATTTTATTTATTGATGAATTTTTTTTAAAATAAAATGGTTAATATGATGTTTTAAAAATATATCTTAAAAATGAACAAATTAAATAATGTAGTAAATGTAATAAGGAATTAAATGTACTGAACACATAAAGTCAATTTACATACAATTAATGCAACTCATTATTTTATAAGACTTGAGATATATTTAGGTACTATATTCTTAGACTAGTTTCTGTCACAGCTTCTCGTGCTGAGGAGATGGTAGATGTGTTGAGGAGATGGTCTATTTGTAAAAAGTTACATCTACTCGTAAATAAGAAATTACAAACATTCATACATATTTTTTATTTGTTACCAATTGAACTTCTTTACTTTACGTCTTCATCTTAACGAATCTATCCCTCGGGAACCGTATATTTTTCCGGGATAAAACGGCCTATGTACTATGTGATCTATCTCTGTGCCAAATTTCATCCCGATCCGTTCAGCCGTTCTGGTTTGACAGAGTAACATAACTTTAAAGTTTTGTTTATAAAAAATTATAGGTTAACATAAATTTTTTTTCAGTTATTCTGTGTGATTGTAATGGGATGTATATCAGCCAAGGGCTGGTACATCAGCAAAGCCGACGGCAATGAGTACTGCGTGTACAATAACGACACGAATGCTTGCAACTACGGCGTGGGCATATCGGTGATAGCGTTCGTAGCTTGCGTCGCTTTCATCGTGGGCGAATACCTCTTTGATCAAATGTCCTCTGTGAAGACGAGGAAGCATTATGTACTCGCTGATATGGGATTCTCTGGTAAGTCATATAATATAATTAATTTTTTTTAAGAATATTTTGTAAGTGGTACGAAAATAAACATTTTCAATATAAAGTTGCAGTAGTCTGTACCGCTTAGTAAGAGCGTCCCTCTACTGTCCTCTTAAATCCTTCCCTTTTCACCCTCTGTTAATACTGCCTGAGTTAACACCATTTAATGCTTCTATTACAGCAGTAAAAACCTATTGACGAATAAGTGTTCTAAAAACAAATATATCCATCTAAAATTTCGTTATATCCAATACTGATCCACTTTAACTATGTAATATGTCGCCTTTACAATATTATACGTACAAAATCATCAACAATCTCAATCGTGAACACGATGCAATACTACAATTAATGAATAGGTAATGAAACGTTTTACGATGATATAGCAAATTATCGTTGGTTAGGTGAATAATCCTTTTAATCAGGCACTATATTTAAAAAACTTAACTGCCTCGGTGGTGTAGTGGCTAGCATATACGGCTGCACTCCCGGAGGTCCTGGGTTCGAGTTCCGGGTCGGGCCAAGTTATTGAGTCTTCCTGTATAGTCTCAGTAACAGCCCGAAGTTGGGAAGTTGGCGGTGTTTCACCCCCGTGCCTCGGAGAGCACGTAAAGCCGTCGGTCCGGCGCCTTAACTCTCACCGGTCGTGTCGAGCAGTCGTCCCACCGGAGTATGAGAGTGATAGGAATAGAGAGTGCAGTTGTGTCTGCGCGTACACTTGTGCTTATTTTAGCTTATTTTTAAAATTATATTTATTATAAAAAATATAAAAAATGGTTTTGTATGTAAAATAAATTAAAATTTTCTTATAAATATATACATATCTTACGTGGCTTAACAGTTTTCCATAATATTGCAGTATAATAAGGTCCTTTCGACCGATTTCGGCCACGGCGGCCAATCTCATTGAAACTACCCATCGACACAAGTACACTCTCTGTTCTTGTCACTCTCATACTCCAGTGAGACGACTACTCGACACGACCAGTGAGATTTAAGGAGCAGGACCGACGGCTTTACGTGCTCTTCAAGGCAAGGGGGTGAAACACCCAACTCCGGGCTGTTTCTGAAGCTTACTAAACAGAAAGACTAATAACTAAACCCGACCTGGGACTCGAACCCAGGACCTCCGGATGTGCAGCCGTACATGCTAACCACTACACCACCACCGAGGCAGTTAACAATATTTAACCACTTTAAAATCCACCGCTCTTGCATATACGGTGTTATTAAATGCAATAGTGTAATAAAACTAATTAAGCACGGGGCCATATTATTTGACATTAGCTTGTAGTGTCACATCTTAAACGATTGATTTTATAGAGTCAGAGATCATTAAGGCTGTCCTTGTACTGTTCGGTGTTTCAATACATATTTTATGTGACAGTTCGTGACAAACTTTAAATAATTTTAAAATATTTTATAATATTCTTAAAATAGTAACAAAACGAAATCTTTAATGAAATATTTTTAAAAAACAATGACTTACAAGTTACATAATGTATACAGAATATGAACCCCAAAACAATAGTTATTGCATTTTTTGTTTGTCTGTATATCTGTGTGCATTTCACCGCAAAATGTACTGAATCGATTTTAACTAAATTTTGTGTAGTGATAACTTTTACTCGGGTCGACATTTAAGATATGTTCGTCCACGGGAAATTCTTTCATTCCCAGGAAAACACAATAATTCTGACGTGTCATATTTAGAAATATGTAGGCCTACAGAAAATTTCGCAAGAGCAGAGCATATGTGTCTCTTAAAGTACACTCGCAATAACTATTTTTATCTGTTAAAAGTTAAAACGTACCTTGGGAGGCACCCGAGCGATGCGAGTGTAATACTAAATAATTAAATACTATCGTACATGTCTATTATATAAATTACTAGCATTGCCCGCGGCTCCGCCCGCGTTCAGGTGACCAAAAACCAAATTCTTAGGTTTTACATATTAGTGTACTCTTACTTTGCAGTTTTTCTATTACAAATGAAATATTTTCTCTCAGTATAAAGTATCCTATATGTTGACCCGGATAACCAGTTATCACTATACCAAATTCCATTAAAATCCCTCCAGTGGTTTTTCTGTGATGCGGTAACAAACAGACAGACAGACAAAAATTCTAAAAACTAGATTCGGCCTCTGTATCGATAATTATGTTTATTTCGATAAGATTTTCCAAAAAATATTTATTGTACAAATTCGACTTAGTTAGAATTTTATTATATGTATAGATTATACCACAAGAAAAAATGAGCCTTCGTCTTTCTATCAAGTAAGATATTTGGCAAGGTAGCATTCTCATTGACCCAATTTGGTTTAATCGTTTCAGTTTTTAGACATACTGTTTATGGACCAAATATACTGCTGGATAACACGTTTAACATTAAATTTTATAACAATTTCGCATACTTAACAGTTAGGGTCGAATTTAAATGTGCGAGGATCTCGAGTTAATTAAGGAATATAGGTCGGTAATATTATTGCAAAAAATATAAAGAAGTACTTTTGATTAGATATTTTGCTTACTCAAAAATGGGTTTAAAAAGCAAACTGCCGCCGCGGTGGTCCTCCTAAAGTCGGCTGTTAACAATTTTTATCAATTAATCCGGACTTATTAACTAAGCGATTATCTAACTTATGTTTGTAAAATTCCGAATTTAATTTTCAATTTCTTATCGGAAAGGCAGTGAAATTCCAAATCTAAACCATTAAAGCATTGGGCATCCATCTTCCTTATTCCTGCATATTTTTTAAAACACAATAAAACGTATTTATCTGTCCGTTCATTCAAAGAAAAAACCAGGTGACTTAGAGAAAGATGACTTTCTAAAATAGTTTTTCGACTTTTTCCTATTAGCAAACAAAAAAATGTTTGAAAATTACATATTTAAGCAATGTGTCACATGGACAAAATATGTCATTATCATACATATATATATAGGTATATTTTAGTTTTCTATTAGCGATGTCGATTGCAAAAATTCACCTTCTTTAAGAAGGCTGGGGTTTTAGAAATATTGTTTTAATTCAATATATTAATAAATAATATATAAGTAACTTTGTTAGGAGTGAATGAATTATGACAATCGATTCAAAATTGGCAAAGTTATTACGTAAAATACACACAAGAACATACAGCCGAATTAAATAGGTATATCTTTTTTGAGATGAAAAGGTCAATGGGTGTAAGCAAAGCGAAGGCGGATCACTATAAGTACCTCAATAAACCTTAGCGGCCAGATTACCGTGTGATTCAGCACTGACATGCGCGTAATTACCAAAAGGCATTAGAGGCTTCAGCTTAACAATCTCCCTGAAGTCTTAAAGGTCTAGATTCTAGCTAGATGTTATCTGCTTATAAAGCGATGATATGAGATGATGATATATGGTCGTACTTTGATATATGTACTTATTTATTTTGTATAAAAAAATTTAATTGTTGGTTGGGAGAAATAAATTGATTTCCAAGTAAATTATGTAAAAGAAAACAAGCTGTCATTGCACAAGTTTCATGACCTTCCTGATACCTTGTTATTCTTCTACCAAAAATTTTCAAATACATTTTTTTCTTTGCAATTTATGATTTTTTTATCTTCGGAATGAACATTTTATTTTATGTTTAGGTTTTCAACATTATCACCGTAATTTATAGGGCTTTGTAACAGCTCAAGACGTAAAACCGCATCGAACGACCTTTATTTCAATACTTAAGAAAGTATATTTTACAGGCTCGCTCGTAAACAAAATGGCATAAACATGATAAAAAATAATCGATCTAAGCCGACAATGTTTTGTCTATGTAATTATTAAGTTTTATGTTCTTTCGTTAAAATAAGGTGGGTGGACCGTTTAAGGCCATGCTCCTTGTAAGGCCGATTATTAAAAAGTCCCAGTTATTGCCATGCGATGACAAATTCCTTCTACTCAGACTAGCACCCATCGAACTTTACACAGACGCGGCGGCGATTCGTTGGCGATGCTGGTTTATCAATGAGGTCCCTCGTTAGTCGCTTTGTTGACTTCTTTCGTCGGCGTTATTATATATTCTTATACCTTATGATTATATTCTAATACCTGAAAATTGAAAAATAACAGGATAAACTAAACGTACTTTTTTTCTATACAATTTTTGCTGCATTACCTCAAAGATTATAAATTTAATTGACAATGAGACAGTCGACTGAATTAGTAAACTATAAAAAATTCCGTGACAAGAAATAATGATAAGAAAAATAATCATTTGTTTACTCACCACAGAGGTTACAGCTATAATAGGTACATCGTCAGTTATGTAATATATGTACATAAACTTCCGTAAAATCATTGAGAACTAATACCGATGGCCGTGACCTACTTCCACTTGAAAATCTGGGTTACAGACATTTGTTCGACAATTAATACAAAGCTTTTTCTACATATTACAATACATGGAGACTTTATATGGGTTCTTTACTATGGTCTATGACATTGAACTAAATCGTTATAAAGTTGTTTGTACATAACGTGTTGGTCAATTTAATGTATAAATAATCGAATAGCTGTTTGTGTCACACGTTATGTATATTTTAGTATATAATAATATATAGATACATACGTACATATGTAGATAGCATTTTTGGATTAAATCAAACCAAAAAAAGTTATTTTTTTAAATTAGACCCTTAGATTAAGCTTACTTAATTTTTTATGTAAATAACATTTTTTTTTGCTTGTGTACTACCAATCTCCGGATAGGATGATTAAACGATTCTTTTACTGCCGGATAGAGGATTTATGCAAGATAAAAGAGAGATTTAATTCGAACATAACCACAGGCGAAAATATTAAAAAAACGTATAAAAGAATCCAACAGTTGAATCATAAAGATTACGACGGATGAACGATGTCCGGAACTCTTACCGAATCTAAACGCCAGAATGGAACATAACCAATCAAATCTGCTATCAGCGTAATTATTATTTTAGGCTACATTTAACACTAACTGGCGACGGCATAATTTTTTTTAATTTCCGTGGTATGAACAGAACGTTTAGCTCTGGTATATTTCGCTTAGAAATAATAACGATAGTCGATAGATCTCCATAACGTATCGATCTGTGGTTTTTAGCTAGCCACTAACTAGCCAAAGGGATTTTGACGTAATTTGTTACCAACTTGTGTACCTTATGTTTATATTTGTATTATGCATGTATTTAAAGTTATATATGATGTTATATATGTGTAGTATATCAACTATCTGGTATCCATAACACAAGCCTCGTAGCTTATCATGGAACTAGATGGTGATGTGTGTCCGTCGTGTATGTCCCGATATATTTATTTATTTATGTCAAATTTCTATCTCTGAAAAGGACAGCTTCGATAGATAGGTTCTCGAGATTAATTTATAGCCATAGTCGTAACTAGCGACCTAGCTGTCTTTTCGCAACAGATTTTATTTATATCAATCCATTTTGACAGGACACTCCGATAAAGCAACTCAACGACAATTTTTTTTTTCGATTTCAATTAAAATTGTTATTGTTCTACTTAAGGGTGGTCCGTCTGTCAGCGGGCTGTATCTCATGAACCGTAATAAGTAGAGTTAAAATTTTCACAGAGTGTGTATTTCTATTGCCGCTATAACAACAAGTAATAGAAAAGGGTTTATAAAGTACATGTATGTTATGTGTGTTATGTATTGTACGATGGTATGGAACCGTTCGTGTGAGAGTCCGACTCAAACTTTATACTACGTATACGTTATAATATGTTTATAATTATATTACAAATATTATTTGCAGCGTTCTGGGCGTTCTTATATTTCGTCGGTTTCTGCTATCTGGCGAACGCTTGGGGTAAGACCGAGACCCCTCCGGTGGGCACCGCTAACAACATGCAAGGCGCCATCGCCTTCTGTTTCTTCTCTATTTTCGCTTGGGTAAGTTAAAATTTTATTTGTTTTTATATGGGTGAAACGTCGGGAAACAAAAATGCAAATAAATCCGCGACAAAATCCGAAAAGATAGTTTTATTTAAAATGTCAAATATTCGCGTAAATCTAAGAAAGTATTATTTATATGGGTTTTGTATATTAATTTGTAAAATTATTATAAATTATAATTAATTATAAATAGTAAAACAAAAGAACAAAGAAAAAGAGGATAATATTATGGAGGTAAAACTTATATCTTGTAACTTAATATTTATGCCTTTTATTTTTTAATCTGAGATTTGTCCCTTTTTTAAAGTTACATTATCCATAAATATAATACACAAACGAAACACTAATAATTTCTTCTATATGATACATACGAGTCTGTGTCTTATTCGAATCACTGAACAATTCTGCAATATAAATGAAATATTTGTTATACCCTTTCTTAGCTAAAATAGTAATTCTACTACAAAATTTCACTATGTTTGGTTATATCTAAGTGGTCGTCTGCAAATATTTGCAGGTGGCATGCGCGTTCTTCGCGTTCCAACGCTACCGTTTGGGCGCGGAGGCTGCGTTCGCGCCCGCGTACGAGGTGGAGGGCGGCAGTCCCGGGGGCTTCCCCGCCTATCCCGGCGCGCCCGACCCGCAGCCCGCCTACAGCGACCCGCCCTTCAACCAGCCCAATACCGGTAAATATATACACAAACATACACTTACATACACAGTAATGTTCTTAATCTTCCAATGATTTCGGCCACGGCGGCTAATCTCACTGACTGACTGATGAGCCAGATGCGCAGGAGATATTATAGTGCAGCGCGTGTGTACGCGCAGACACGTGTACCAACCTAGGACCTCTGGATCTGCAACCGTACTTGTTAGCCACTAAGCTACCGCAGCAGTTAAAATAAAACATAGTGAATAATAAGTCCAGTGAATTCTTTGATTTTAGTAGGAATGGTGCCATGTGTAAGGAGACATCTATCTATTAATTACGTGAGCTTAAAAATAGGGAGGGAGGGGAGTGGGAGGTTGTCATTGAAAATCTCACGTCGACTTTAAAAATATATATTTTGTACACATCATATTTTTTTTGGAGTGTCCCATTTATTCCACTGAAAAAAAATTGATTGCTATATAAAATATACTTATTTCTAGAGTACCTGAACGTTCTATTATTTTTAAGGCTTTATAAATGAAGACATTTAATAACTGTAGCGTAAATCTCACGTGAGGAGAATGTCCCAACAAATCTCACTTAATCTCACCAAAGGAGAGTTAAAGAAAAACTGCTTACGTAATTAATGGATTTGTTAGGTTGTCAAAAATTACTAACTTTTTACTTTTACCAGAGTAAAAACTAAGACCATCCCCTATTATATATTTTCCATTAACCGCTAACTATGCTATATTTTGTGTTATTTCTTATTATTAATATGTATTTTTATTTATTTCAGGAAACATCGATTACTCCGCTCCAACTTACTAAACAGTTGGTTTCTTTCTCTCACCGTTCTTTTATTGTCAGGTTATAATTCATTATACTTCCCATAAATAAGTCGGATTATATGCAATAAATGTGGTTTGCTCATTCTTATCACTGTACTTTTAAATACACAAAAATATACACGAAAAAAAGATATTTTTTTAGAAGTAAAATATCTCAGTTAAAGGTAAATAGGCCTAATTATTAAGAATTTATATCATACATTTTTTTTTACTATAACTTGCATATAATCCGAAATTTTAACTCCAATAGTTAACTAACGAGTATTTATATTTTCCATCTAGTCATATTAAACAATTTATTGTTATATAGAAATCATATATTATATTTAATTTACTTTAAGTAAAGATATTTTATTTTGAGACTTAACAAATTTTTTTTTAAATCAACTTTTAGGTCCTTAAATTATTACTTATCAATTATCATATAAATGATATGCGCAGAAATGACACTTTATGGCTTGTTTGTTTTCATTTCAAAGAATATTTTTAATCTGTCTCGAATAATTTATTGTTATCTATGTTTTATTGTTATTTAATAATCACGTACCTGCATGTAGGTATCGACAATATTCCTGTATTGTAAAATATCTTGTATATAAATATTAAAGATATTATTTGTGTGATTTGTTATTGTGATATTTTTGTTGTAAAGTTTGAGAAATGCTGCTACAATGAATTATGAAGGTGATTGAATTAATAATTGGATCTTCTTGAAGAAATAGTTTTTTTTTCTATTAGTACTTTCCGGGATAAAAACTATCCTATGTCCTTCCCAGGGTCTCAAACTACCTTCACACCGAATTTCATCTAAATCGGTTCAATAGTTTCGGTGCCTATTCGGTACAAACAAACAAACAAATCCTTCCTCTTCATAATATTAGTATTGATTACATGAAATATGTTTGTGATGACGTCATATTTATATAGGTCAACGAACCTCCTCTAGAATTTTCTATCGAATTTCTAATAGTAACACTGAAGTAAAGATGGCCAAGTAATAATTTATTGTAGCAACATTTTGTACAATATCTATTTTTAGTTTCACTATAGTGCCATGTGAGTAGTTAAAAAAAATTTATTCATCCCATTCATTTTGCATTTAAGACATATACGTATTAAGTAGTATTATTGTATAATTACTTAGAAAGCACTTAAAATATTATTTATTTGATGTTAATCTAAAATATGGAGGCTTCTAGTAAGAAGTTATTACATCACTGATTTTTTGTTCACATTTAGTTAGTACTAATCTGCCCTTCGTTATATTATTAAAAATTCAGTATTAAAACTACTTGTTTTCAAAAAGTAGCCATTAAAATTAGTCACTTTACATATTGATTTTATAATAATAATTGTAAGTTCTTTAGAAGTCATTTTAGAAAATGGCCATACAATAAATTAATCGCTTGAACTTTAGCATATATATAATAGATAATTGTTAAACAGCATATCGATATATATTTTCAATATTATTTTAAATGAATAAATATAATAAATATATTAGATAAGTGAATGTGCATTCGTTTTAGTGTTAACAAGCTTTGCTGTGGTGTAATAAAGTGTTATTGGAATTATCTAGACTTTGACTATTCGTGTTAAAAAATCGATATCTTATAAGCTATTGGAACTTTTTTGTTTAAATATTACAAAATCGTTTCTTTTTAACGTAGTGACTTTTCGCCCGATTGTGTACGGGAAACTTTCCCGTATTTTCCGTGGATTGGTTGAGTTTAATTCAAGCTTTCAGCTTTTATATTTAATTATATTAAATATTATGTTCATGTTTCTAAGAGGAATATCACGCTTTATTATAATTTGCATTATTATATTATATATATTGTATATTTTTAGAACATTCGATTTCTACATATTTTTGTGGAAATAATTACTGTTTACATTTAGTTGGTCAAAAATAAAGTACAAACCAAATAATGATATATTCTCTTAGTCTGTGGTAATATTGAATACGCCCTTTTTTTTATTATCTTTAAAACAAAATCGATATCTAAATAATAACCGATTTTATGAAAAGGAATTCATTATCAATGTTTAGAAAGTTGTAGCAGTAGCAAATATAATTAAAACTAACTCAGAAAAAAATAATTATAGCCCGACTAAAATGAGTTTCCATTTCGTCTTACATTCTTCTAATATATATATATATCCTTATATATATATATATATATATATATATATATATATGTACATATATATATCCCTATATATATATATATCCTTATATATATATATAAGGATGAACCTTTTTATTTGCAGTATGTTGTATATCAGGTTCACATATAATTTGGTCGAATTATACCATAGACTATTCAATTGTTTCCACTTATACATATATGAGAACTAGCAATAATTGTTCAAAAATAGCGGCGATTTTGTCATTATTTGTTAACACATTATGATTTTTTTAATCTCATATTTAAATTTAGTAGTATCATATCAGTCGCGAACTTTTAGCTTATGAATTCTCGCTTTACCCCTAACCTAAATATATGAAATGTTATTGTAAGCAATTTAATGTGTATACAAACGCGATTTGAATATTTATATTATATATATATATACATATATATATATATATATATATATATATATATACATATATATATACATATATATATACATATATATATATATATATATATAAATATATATATATATAACTTCTTTCATTACATATGCGGAGATTTTTAGAAAATAATAAATATAATTGCCTCTAATTATACCACTTGTTTATTGCAATCATTAAATGTAGCTTATATTTTTATAAGTAATGCGCTGTTATATTGACATACTGCGATGTTTTCTTTACGTATTAAAATGTTATATATACAAACGATGTTTACTATAAGGTAATGGTAGCCCAGTGGTAACGCGCTCGCTTGAGAAACCAAGTGAAGCGGGTTCAAATCCCGGGTCTCGCACCTCTGATATTTTCATGTGCGAATCATTTCTAACATAATTACCACTTGCCTTACGGTGAATGAAAACATCGTGAGGAAACTTGCATGTCTGAGAGAACTTTTGGACTTGTGAAGTCCGTCATCCGCACTTGGCCAGCGTGGTGGACTATGGCCTGATCTCCCTCGTACTGAAGGGAGGCCCGTGCTCAGCAGTGGGACGTTAAAACTAAAGTTGCTATTAATTTTATATGTTGATAAATCTATAATAATAAGAACACATCGCGGTATGTTCGTGTAATTAGCCAAATCTATATAATAATATAATGATTGTTAACTTGTGTATTAATGTACTGACAAAAAATGGCCCCAAAATAGAACTATATTATATTCAACAAAATTAAAGTTTTTGGGAAATGTTCCTTAAATTACATAAAGCGGTAATATTTTATAGATATAAAATATATTTCAATATGATTAAATAATTTTAATCGTACATAAAGTCAGTACATTTTTTCGCATGCTGTTTTTTAGTGACTGTTTCGTCGCCCTTCACTAAAACGTAAATGTAGTGACATTACTTAGAGGTAGAGACATAGATGTAGAGAATGGACTGAGCAATACTATCAAATTGACGACTCTCTAGAAAGAGAGAAAGCGAACGTGCGGCCAAAAAAAAAGTAATATTATTTAAAATTATAATATAATGAAATGTAAAATGCGTTTCACATATCTGTCTTAATTAATCGTATTTCAATTATTACACAAGACATTTTAATTATAACTATATTTTCGTTTTTTTTTGGTTTGGTTTAGGTTAGAATCAAAAATCACAATAAATTCGCCAAAAACCCCGAAAAGGTAATTATATATATAAGATCAAATATTCCCGGAAATTTAAGAAAGTATTTATACACAAGACTTCTGGCCGCGCATTCGTTTTGTCTCTGTCGCGTATTTCCACCATTTTTAGCTGACGGCTGGCAAAGAAACACTGCAGTCCACTCTCTGTGTCTATGGGTAGAAATGACACTTACGGTAATTATCTGTTCTGATAATAATGGAGTATTCACAAATTGTCTTAAGTGTTAAATATGCTGATTCAGTGTTTGGTGACTTGGTGTTATGTGTATAGTGATACATTAAATAAGTCTCATCCTGTTGACGGTCTCTGTATAATATGTATTTTCATGTGAGTCGGTTATTTTAAGTATTAATTTTATTTTTTAAACAATTAATTTTAATTTAAGTTCTAAGCACTTGTACTTATTATGTTTATAATAATTATAAATTAAAAATTTTAAAAAACCCCCTACGCAAATTAACTGTCATTTAACGATTATACTAGCACGCGTGATGCACTTAATCAAATGCCTTACATCATTTTGGAAAAGAGCTGATACTCTTACACTACTGGACCGATAGTAACCAAATATAGAAATATTTGTTTACTATCGGTCCAGTAAATCACCACAAGGAAACTAGCTTTCAAATGAAAAAAATAATAAATCAAAAAGTAAATCACCACAAGGAAACTAGCTTTCAAATGAAAAAAAACCGCATCAAAATCGGTTTATCCGTTTAACAGCTACGATGCGACAGACAGACATCGACGTCAAACTTATAACACCCCTCTTTTTGCGTCGGAGGTTAAAAACTAGTAAGGGTCATTTGCATGAAAATTATCTATGATATTTAAATGTCTTAGATATGTATAGCTAACGTCAAACAATTTGATGTTTCTAGACCATTTTAGATGTTTAACATAGAAATTTAGCCACTTTTCACTAAAAAAGGGGCCCTAAATATGATTTATTGCCTTTATAGAGAAAATATGATAGAGGTGGAAGTTGGAAGAAAAAGTAAAGTCACTATCTCTATCTCTCTCTCAATTTTTAATCAAAATAAATACCAGGGCTCGGAAACCCGTTCGATTTTTAAACCGGTTTGGGTCATTGACCCCAAACCGAAAGACATCGGTTTCGGTTACGTTCTTTAACCGGTCAAATCCGTGAGAACGTTTTTTGACAAATTTAGAATCCATTATCAAAATGAACCGGTTAAAATGAGTTTTTGTGCGTCTACATTCAGCTACTCTTTGATAATGGTGAATTGCTTAGTACAAGGATACATGGACGTTTCTTACTTAAATTAATCGGTTTATTTCAGTATCAAAACCAAAAATAACAGTTAATCATTATTATTTCCAATCGACTTCGATCGATCGATTCGATCAATCTTTTAATTACCGAAAAAAAAACCGTTTTTTTTTTAATAAAACGGTTCCGAGTCCTGATAAATCTTTTTCTTACTTTCTTACAAGACAACTTACTAATCAAAGGTATTGTCTCTATATATACAAGTGTTTTTATGATTTCTTTCATATCTTTAATTTTAATAACATAAACATTTTTAACATCTATAAGCGTTAAATATAAGTAAAATTATTTTTTGTTCAATAACAAAAGTACCCTGTCTTCAAGATCTAACGTTTACCAAAGATTTTGTCACATCCATTGAATATAATGTATACTCTCTAGTTTAAATTCACTTATTGCGTTATTAAATGTATTATTAAAAAATCATTTGAACCAAAAATCTGTACTTTGGATCAGGTTTTAACAAAAAATATATTTTTTATGAATCAAAAACTTCAAAATTACACGCACAAGTATACAGAAGTTAGCAGAGAGTATTCAATAATTATATTCAAAAGATAACCTGTTTATTGCATTATGAAATTATATTATCATGTAAATTATGAGATAAAAATAAATTGAATGATAGATATGTGCATTCGTTGCTTTATTTATGAAGTAGGTTTTAGTGACCTTAACCTTTAAATCAATATTTTAAAAAAATCTCCGTACCAAAAAGTACCAAATTATTCAATTACATTAAAAGTTAAAGTAATTACTAACAGAACTAACAAACATATTTATTATATTAATAAAGAATACGTAGTTCCGTATACAAATATAAAACCAGTGGTAGCACAGTGGTAACTCGTATGCTTGGAAAATCGAGTAAAGCGGGTTCAAATTCTTGGTCTCGCACCTCTGACATTTTCATGTGCAAATCATTTCTATCATGATTACCACTTCTCTTATGATGAAGGAAAACATAGTGATAAAATCTGCATCTCTGAGAGAATGTAACAAGTTGTCGAAATATATGTGAAATCCACAAAACTCATTTGGTCAGCGTGGTGGAGTACGGCCTGATCCCTCTGATACTATTGAATGAGGCGTGTGCCCAGCAGTGGGACGTACGGCTCATCCAATACAAAAATTGGACAGCGGTAATTCGGGCTATTTTTGCTTGAATAGGTAATAGATGTCGTTGATCTGCAAATAATTGAACTGATTTTATTTAATATTTTATGCAAAGTACACAAGTGTTTGAACAATTTTTAAGCGTGATAAACAACTTATAGAAGTAAAAGCGCCATCTGTGAATATGTAAACTTGTCCAGTAAAATTACGCATATTTGATCGATGGGCGCATTATTTCATTTCTATTCACTTAAAGAGTATTTTTTTAAACTATAATAATGGGGAATTATTTTTTATCTTTTGATAATTTAACACAACTTTAAAAACAAAATTATACATGTTACGTCATCTATTGACATTTATTTTAACTAATTTTTCTTTGTTCGTGATGAGACCCCAATAAATTATTGATTCTCGATATCTAATGAGATAATATCATGGCAGAGGTCTAGTAACAAAGCGTAACTGTATGATAGAGTCTAACAACAAAGGCGGTAAAGTCCCATGGGTATAGTACACAAGGTACACAAGTATGCGCGCAAACACAAGCGCACTCTCTATTCCAGTCACTCTAAACTTGGGTAGGACGATAATTTGACACGACTGGTGAGAGAAAGGGTGCAGGAGCGACGACTTTACAAGCTCTCCAAGACACAATTTTTTTATATAGGACTACTACTACGACGTAATTAATAAAAAAATGTATATTATTGTAAGACATGACTAATGGCTTAATTGGAATCCATACCAATATTATATTATAAATGTGAAAGTGTGTTTGTTAGTTTGTCCTTCTTTCACCTCGAAACAGAGTGACGGATTGGCGTGATTTTTTGTGTGGAGATAGTTGGAAGGCTGGAGAGTGACATAGGCTACATTTTACCGCGGCAGATTATCTAATTCCCGCGGGATAACACGTTATAATACAATCCAAAAAATATTTATGATCAGAATTACTTGAAACTTGGTATTAATGCTCTTCGATAAAATTAATTTACGAGTTTAAACATTTTACGAAATTCATCCCATAATGAGGTAAAATAGGGGATGAAAGTTTGTTTGAAACCGGTAGGTTTTAGTTTCTTTGTAATTTTAGGGCGAGCGAAGCCGTAGGTCGCATGGAACATACAAATATAAAATACATACAAACCATTTGATCACTTTATCCTCTTTCAAATAGCTGAATAGAGTGAATGTTTGTCTGTGATTTTAAAATTACTTACTACCATATGCTTTGCTCATGTGGTTAATTATACACCATGTCAAAATAATATGTTATCATCTGGCAGTTTCTCTGGCAGTAACAATGTTACGATATCCGCGGGCTTATTTAATTGGCGAATAAAGAACTCGCATCTTATTCAAATGATTTTTTTTGTTCATCACTAATATAATAAACAGGAAAGATTTGCATTATTGTAACGAATAAACTCAGAAACTACTGGATCAATTTAGATGAAATTTGGTAAGATAGTTTGGGACTCTGGGAAGAACATAACATTTTTATTCCGGAAATCATCCTTTAAGGAGGTGAAAATAGGGATGAGTTTTTATGAAGAATCAACCTAGGGACGAACCCGAGCGAAGCGCAGGTTATTAGCTTGTCATTAATTATATATACACTAGCGACTCACCTTCGCTTCACTCGGGTTCGTCTCTAACTTGATTCCCCATACAAATTTTCATCCCCATTTTAACCCCCATATGGGATGATTTCTGGGATAAAAGTATCCTGTCCTTCCCAGGGTCTTAAACTATCTTCTTACCAAATTTCATCTAAATCGGTTCAGTAGATCCAGAGATTACTCTACAACGTCACAATCTCACAAACTTTGCCTCTTTATAATATTAGTATAGATACATATATCTGGTTAAATTGTCTCGTAATACTATACCAATTAGGTAAATAATATTATTATATTAATATACACCTTTGCATCTGCATATTTAAATATGTATGTGTTACAATGGATAAGGATAATTATAATAAAACTATTTTAGTTTAAATTCCAGATTTATTTCATATTATGCTTACAACTAACGGATTATCACAAAATAACAGTGAAACTGATGATTCACAGAATCTAACATGACAATGGGAAGATCTTTTGCTTCAATCTGGCACGCGAGTGGCAAATTGTAATAAAAAATATATGCTAAATTATTACGAAAATACAATACGAAATACTTCAAATAAATGACATTGTTCAAAAAAGCATTTTTTACGTGTACTAAAAAAAAATAAGTACCCTTAATATAAAGGCTTCACATCTCTAATCAAATGCTTCTAATAATCATACAATTTGTTAGTCAAGGGATTTATTTTTAACCTTTTTTGAGCTCAAATAATGTCAATGTGTTAATACTTTCCACTTGTCCATAATAAGTAGAGTTAAACCATACAATTATATATATTTTTTTCATTTTTAAACTTACAAATTATTCTATACAGTTTGACTTAGCATCTAGTCTTACATAAAGCATGTAAAGTATAAGAAACCTAATTGCAAACTTAAAATTAATATCACTTTTAACAGTAGACGCAGGAACTGAATGACTACAGAACAGATCTCAAAATATTGTACATTTTATCTAAAGTATTGTTTTTAAGAGTAATGAAAAATTGACATATAAAATCTGTGATTAATGATTTTACATATATATGGTGTTTAAAAAGTCTGAAAACCAAATTCTAGTATAAACATTTCTTTTATCAAAAATCTCAACACAATCAATATATTTTTCTACAATAAGAAGTAATTATTAACTGAACTTCTATAGAATATAACACTTTATAATATTTATAACTTGATACATTCTTTTTGTTCATATTTCAGACTTTTTAAAAGTTACAATACCCATGAGAAGAATAAAATATAAGGATTTTTAGATGAGCTACACTGGGTTCAATTTATTATTACACATCAAATTTGACTTGGTAATTATAAGGAAATGAAATATCCCAACAAACTGACTTACATTTTTTTGGAAGAATATAATAATATAATAAAGTATATACAGTTAGTATATAATATACCAAATCCATTGCAATATTATATATTTATGTTTGCCACAAAAAACTATTAAAACACAAAGTAATTACTAAGGTAGCATTTTCTTGTTTGAAGAAGATTTGGAAAATTCATTATAATAATAAGAAAGGAAATTTAATATTTAAAATATACTGTTTTTGGGAACACCTAACAACGGGACTTAACTCTCAACAACAACAAATGCCATCAATTACTCTACTGTTTTACTTACAATAAATTAATTTTATAGACTCCTCAAGTGTCTGATCACATAAAGACAAAACTACAAACTATAAATCTGTTCTCAAACTAACAGGCTTGTGCTTAGAGATATCTTTTGACTGCTAGTGATAAGACTGAATACTCTGTGTATAGATTTAAAAATTAATATAAATTATTAAAAAATGTCTACATGTATGTACAATGTACATACATTTTGTGTATGATTATTAATGTTTTTTTTTCTATTGTTTGATATATAAGAGGTGTCATCTTATCACTTGAAGTCAATATTATTAATATATCCTCTAAGCTCTGCCTGTAAGCCTATACTACTTTTTAGCTTTAGCAGAATGCCCTTGCTTATTTGGAGGTGTCCACCTTAAAGCTGAAGGGTCTACAGATAAGCGAGGCTTTTTAAAATGAGAGCTAGCTAGCTGCTCTGCTACTGTCTTTGGCGTAACACAAATTACATGTTGTCCCTTCCAATACTTGACCATATTCATGGATTGAAGGGTTGATATAATATCTGTTTGAGAAATACCAGTCATGAGACTTAAATCTTTGATACTTAATGTTCCTCGACTCGCACTTAATACTTCTAAAAGAACATATGACCAGTATGATCTGTAACTCAGCTTTCCCAGATCTGACAATGGCTTTTCGGGGCTACCAACAACTTGTTCTAATCTTGATAGTTCATAACTAAATGCAATGAGCAGCTTACCATAGCCTTGTCGCTGATAAGGGGGAAGTGTCAAAATACATGCAACATTGTTACCTTCAGGAGAGTCTTTCTCCTTTGAAAAATAGCCAACAAGATGAGCTCCGTGTTTATCAACTTCACATAATATGTAAAATAAAAACTGTTCTATATCAAAATAAAGAGTTTTATGATCTAAAAACAATTTAGCAAGTAAACAAAGGTTTTGACAATAGATTTTGTGTTCCTTTCCATCGGCTTCAAATATAGCAATTGTACCTTTCCGATATATTTCGCTACCTAGTGGCTGTCTTGCTGTACATTCACTTAGATGGTACCTGTAGGTCTTTTCCATCCGCATATATTTCAAACAATATTCACAAATCCACAATTTTGATTGTTTTCCATATTCATCAGGATAAGGACTGAAATACCAGGTGTCTATCTCATATTTGCCAATTTGTATCCTATCGATATACTTTACTTTGGTAATTGCCTCATGTTCTTTTTCTAAAGCCGCTGTTGTTGGGTCCATTTCCGCGTAGGATTTCTGTACATGGTTGATCTCGTCATGTTTACGTTTTTGATTGCGCGTTATTTTTCGTCCTGATTTGTCGGTTAGTAAATGATCGGAGTTTATGTTATTATTTGAGTTTTCACACACGTCAAATCTATCAGACATAACCCGGTGGCGGGAAACCCATTCGTCGAGCCTTCGATCGTATCCCACATAATGTACATAGTATTCATAAACAGATTCCGCGGCATTGTAGCGCGTCTGTATAATCTCCGCCGGGTGCCATGACTCATCTGAACGCCGCACTAAATAATGCTCTCCAATATCCAAAGGTTGCTCTTGTGCCGATTCTGAGTCTTCATTGTCAGTGCTACGACACTCTGGAGTAGGTAATTCATTATTTGCTATTGGTTTTTCTAGCTCCTTATCACCTTTTGCCATATTAAACAGGAAACCATTAATTAGATCACGCAATACCGCGCAACACAATCTGTCGCAGTAGCCATGCTATTATATCCATAGATTACAAAAAACAAAACGCGCAAAAACGTGCCTTAGTGTAGTGAAAAACCGATACTTATCGATTTTTATACTATTAATTATGACAAAATTTGTTATGGTTTATTTTTAATTTTTAATCATAATGATTTTAATTTTAATAATGTGTGTAATAAGTGTTTTGCATATATAATTTTTTTGAGTTATATAAAACACTGTAAATTGTGTTAAAAATTTAAGTAGTGTTTATGGTTTCAGTGTTGTATGTGGAAGACAACATTGCATGTTTTACGGGAATATTTCAACAGTAATATTTTTAATACGGTGCGACTTTATATTTACGACATTATTTTCTTTTATTTTAATGAAATAAGTGGAGTGACGCTAAGATTACTAAAATACATAAAATGTTCAAGTATTTATGAAAATGCCATTAAAATAAAATACAAAATATTAATATTCCTTATTATTAATAAATATATTTTTTTTTATTATCATTTATTCTTTTTTTTTAATTTTAAGTAAAAAAGTAATTACAAATTCAAAACAACAATTCCGTAATTTTATTAAAATTATCTAATAGGTAAAATTATATATGTAGGTATTTATTATGATTTTAAATATTTTATAATGTCAACATTAACTTACCACTTTATTTTTATCTGTGGCCACCGTTACAATTTTACGTGAGGTCCGTTGGCCTTAGAGTATTAATATTCTGTGGTGTGAGTTGCTGTCTGCTGTTGAACGTACGTAACGTAATTCCTATCGGCGAAACGACTGTGACTGTGTAGTGTTCGAATGATTTGTAAATCATTTTCTAATCGCCAAAAGGAAGATATGAAATTAATTTTGTTATCTAAAAACTGTGCAGTTTATTTTTGTAAGTGTTAATTTAAATGCTGAAGTGTATTGATTGCAATTAGACGTGATTTAGTGCAGTGGTAACCATTCGAGATTGGTTCGGAGGCCTTCGCTGTGATAATCGCCCCTTGTTTTAGTGGGAACAGAATTCTGAACCGCAGAAATGCAGGCGATCAAGTGTGTCGTTGTAGGTGACGGGTAAGTTATTTAGTTTCATTTGTAATAGATATAGTTCATGTACCTTTGTAATATGCTTATTATCGTAACAAACTATCTGACGTCATTATATGAACAGTCATACTCATTTGTGCCGCATCCAGTGCTGTAACCGAACGCTCTCGAGCGATAACGCATGTGATTATCAAGCTGTCTTTATAAATTATAACTATAAAAACTAAAATTATTAAGAGATAGTATTTTTTTAAATGACAATTATAATTTCCATTATTTATTTTATTGGTTACTAGTGATTACAATGATTGTGTTATCAATTATCTTTATCTTACATAAGCACTTTAACAATACTTTCAAATTATTTTTTATGAACCCTAATGAGCTAGTTATAGTTTTATGTAGTGTAGATAAGTTACTTTCAACTTTGCATATAACAGGATCCATAATTAAAAATAATTAAATGTCCTAATTTAAAATTAATGGATACTGCCTTTACTGCCCAAAAAATACCTTTAAATTTATAATTAATTCACTTTTATTATCATGTCAATTCTCTTAGATCCTTTACAATATTTTAAATGTGTTTAGTATGTGTCAAACCATCCACACATACAACCTAATGTTTGCTAAACATATTTGAAGATATTGTAATCACACTAAGAATTAGCTAAAAGTGTACAATTAAGTATGTAATCTAAATAAACTAATTTGCATCAATATGATTAAAAAGAGCTATATTTATGTAAAAACCTAATTAGTATTACAAAGGAGTTGTGCAAATCCCTGTTATTTTCTAAAGGTGACTCAAAGCATACCTAATTGGATAGTGACATGTGCCTGCCAGGGTGCATGCAAATTGTCCCATTTCCTCTATTGGAAGACTTAATAGTATTGTTTAAAGCTTACTATTTTAAATATTAAAAGGTTGTAGACTAAATAGTAATTTGCAATTAAATTTATTTATGGCATACTTAGTTGTTATTTTATGTATTTATAATATTACTAGAGGCTCACCCTCGCATCGCTCGGGTTCGACTCTAGGAACACAAAAACAAACCCCATGGGAACGGTACTTTTTCCAGGATAAAAAGTAGCTTATGTGTTATTCCAGATATACTATATTCCAGATATAGATATATTATAGAATAATCTATCTTTGTGCCAAATTTCATCCAGATCCATTCAGTTGTTCTGTTGTGAAAGAGTAACAAACATCCATACTCACAAACTTTCATATTTATAATATTGGTATAGATAATAATGAAATTAAATGTCAGAAAAAATGTTAGAATATTCTTCATATTTTAAGTATTTTGGTATGCTTTGCGTCTGTTAATACAACTCTAAGCCATTAAAGAAAAAAAAATAGTTATGCTTCTAAACAAAAGTTTGCATGAGATTTTAAAAACATTTTTGAAACACAAAGTCATCTCGTAACTATGTAAATGTATTTTCAATCAGCATTTGATTTATAAAATCATTAAGCTAACAAAACACTAGTTTTGTGAATATTATAATGATATTTTATTGTTCTCTTATAAATTTACATATAAGGTATTATTTGTCTCGCTCTTAGGGCAATGAATTAATGTTATCTCGTACAGCAATCGTTTAAAAAAAAACCTCTTTGTGGACAGATGAATGAAAATCTATTTATCTTTACATAAAAGTTTATGCAAATATTTCGCAGTATATTGAATGTAATAAAACTTTATCATTATGGAGATGATGGTGTTTCTATTGCCATATTTCCTATGTTAATTATTTATTATAAGTCAAACATAGGTATTCATTTTTATGTAACTTATAAGTTTAAATATACACAACCTGACAAATTCATAACAATGGCTAATTAATATAATTTAATTAACGTTGAAATTAGCACTTGATTTAAGTAGAGACCTTGTCATATTTTTTTGTTGTAACTAAGCAAGAAACATAATGAAACTTCTTTCGTAAATAATATGTATCAATACTTAACAGGAATTCTGAAATAGCAATGGTTGCTTAATCCTATTTTTTGTCGAATTGGTTTCAGAATTATAACCTCAAGTTTGAGAATACTGTATTGTAAATAATCACTGGTATTTCTGTAGCCTTACGTTTGTGAGGCAAGGTCACTCTATGACATTTACAATTTGTTATTATGACTTGTGGTGTGTTTATTTCAGTAATGCGAAGTATGCTGTGTTCTTATTTTGATTTGAAATACTTTTGTTAAAAACTGTTTTGAAGTATTAGTAATAGCAAATTTAAAATTTAGAAATTCGCAGTGTTTTTTACATGAAATACTTAAAGGACTACATCTATCTGTCAAATAGGCAACAAAACGGCTTTAAAATACTAAGGTTTTATCAATCTACTTATTATATCTATTGGATATTTGAACCTGTGTACTAAGTCACGTCAGAACGTGCTTAGAAAACTTGCCTTTCCAACATTCAACTTAATGTTGACTAAATAAAGAAACCTACAATATGTGTTTGGAAAGTTATTACGTGAAAGAAAGTGTCCTGTGCGATCGATGTTTATTAGAAAGATTGTGAGCCAGTCTGCAAAAATAACTCCTAGTGGGAATGTTACTTAGGAACTATGATACATTTAAACTGTTTGTTTGTACTTTACAATAACTATTAATCAATATGGCCTAATTTTTCACAGTATAATCAATTTATTTTGTGGACCAATTTACTACTCTGTTGTTTGTTCAGGGCCAATATTAAGATAATGTGGTTTAGGTAGCAGTTTCATAGAGCTGTCTTCCTCTGAGCGGCAAATTACGGGCGTCAGGCCGAGCTATTTTCCTATTAATTCAAATCAACATTAAAAAAGGTTTATGGAATGGATGTAGGAGGTATTTTCGGAATAAATGATTCCAATTTCAAAACAGTATTTCACTAATAAAAAACTAATTTGTCTCATGAGTGTTGGTTTATTTTTTGTTCCAATAATATTTATTTTTCAGTAGGCAAGACGTTACAATTATAAGATCTGTAATTTAAGTCCATAGGGTTTACCATGGCGAAATAAGGACGGCTCGTTAGTCGCTCGCTAGTAAACATATCATAGGGGGAGATTTTTTATTTAACTATGGCGACTCAACCTCGCTTCGCTCGGGTTCGTCCCTAGCTTGATTTCCCATACAAATTTTCATCACCATTTTCACCTCCTTAAGGGATGATTTGCGGTATAAAAAGTATCCTATGTCCTTCCAAGGGTCTCAAACTATCTTCGTGACAAATTTCATCTAAATCGGTTCAGTAGACCCAGAGGTTACACACTACAAGGCCACAAACTCACAAGATCACAAACTTTACCTCTTTATAATATTAGTATAGATAAATATTTACCTAGTACAAATAAATACATACGATGTCATGTCAACACTAAAACTATAAAGAAGTATTTTTATATAATTTCATACGCATTAACATCTTTGAAATTGAAAGGGCGATATAAAACAAATTGCATTTACATGCAAGCCGCAAAACGAGTCTATTAGCTGAAACCGGTTTGTGGTCAAGGGGTTAGAGAGGGTTGAAGATACGAGCCTTTAATCTTGTTTGCACTAAGTAAATAAATCGTAGTCACATCGAAAATATACTTGAGTAAGTATTATTATTAAGATGTTCTTTTTTAAACAATATAAATTCAATTTCATAATATAGAAGAAAGTGGCTCTATAGATAATACTTGTAGGAGACGTTTTCTAGAAGACACATTCTATACAGTAAATTACAATAAGACTAAAAGTCTCTACCGTGACCATGTTTGGTGTTAAAGCATTAAAAATGTCGTGAACCAAAAACCATAATAAATCTGTAAAAAAAAACGAAAACATAGTACATACTTCAAATTGAAATATAGTAAGGGACTTATTATTTATTGGATAGGATTTTATACATCTATACATATAATAAAATTGTAACTAAGCCAAATCTGTACATTAATTTTTTTTTGGAAAATCTTATTAAAATAATCATTATTATCGATACACAGACGAATCTCTCTGTCTTTCTGTCTGTCTGTTACCGCATCACAGAAAAACCACTGAAGGGATCTTGTTGAAATTTGGTATGGTGACAGCTGGTTATCCGGGTCAACATATAGGATACTTTTTACTATGGGAAATGTCTCATTTCTGAGAAAAAATACAAAAACTGCAAAGTAAGAGTCATGGACGAATTAGCCACTTCGTTCATGGTAAGAGTATACTAATATGTAAAACCTAAGTATTTGGTTTTTGGTCATCTGAACGCGGGCAGTGCTAGTTACAATATATGTTGCATATGAATGTTAACTATAATTTCCTTAATTACCTAAATAAATTATTGTTTCCCTGACTACCTAATTGGACTGAGATTCATGTATTATTTTTAGCTTGTGTTATATCCTTGTTATATTTTCCTTTGAAAATTCAATTTTGCATTGCAAAATTCAGCTAATGGTGACTTTTGTATACACATCGACAACCACAAAGAGATCATGATTATTTATGTACCTTACTTTTAATACGACACTCTAGTCAGTTAAAAAAAATCGGTCAAGTGCGAGTCGGATTCGTACACGAAGAGATCCGTACCAAAAATACAAGCACAAAAAATTGTTTTTATTGTTAATTGTACACAGATTATAAATTCCATCCATAAGATTGCAACTTGCAATAGTTACTTTTTTAAAAGTTCTATGGTGGAAATTCCGTCATCTGTGGAAGCATTTCTATCTTTTTACGAAAAATAAAATATGAATAAGTATCTACAGCTATATATTTGAGGTAGAGTATGAGCTCTTCTTTTAACATGGAGTGAAAAATATTCGCACAGTTCACTTTCCCGTGTCAAAATGTAGAGAAAAATAAAGTCAAATTATATTTTTCTGGTTTTCAACGAGTAAACATCATTAAAACGATTCCGCTTGATTAAACTATATTGATTCCCAACTCTTGAATAGCTTTATAATAGTTTACAATAGACAGAACAAGGATTGATTTGTGATGAAGTACCCGCATAGCCAAGTACCTCGTG